GTAAATAGCTCCGTATCCGGAAGATGAAATTTCTTCTGTAGAGTTTGGAAAGAATCTGGTGCATGAATGTTGTAGATATCTTGGATATACTGTATGCCAAACGCTTTCCAAGAGGTGAGGTTCAAAATGGGGGGATAGGAGCTGCAGAGAAGATATTGGGGTAGGCATTCGTATGTTAGTCTTGTGTGAATGAGTATGTGTTAGGAAATCATGCCAAGCTATCAAAGAGGCCTGGATACAAGGGTGTGTGTGTAGAGGTCCAGTTTGCATCGTACGTGGCGTAAATAATAGATCTGACAGGGCACCTGACTGGTACATGGAAGCTTCCATGATTGTCCACGTTTTGTCATGGGTGGGGTGCCACCAGTAGAAGAGCTGGTCCAATAAGACCGCTTGGTAATAGGATTTTAAATGTGGGAGGCCGGCTCCTCCTCTGGAAGGAGGACGGATCAGGAGGTTTGTGGAACATCTAGCCCGTTTGGAGTTCCATAGAAATTTATTTAGAATTTTTTGCAGTGTAGAAAAGAAAGAGGAGGGTATAGGAATAGGTAATGTACGGAAGATATATAATATTTTAGGTAATATACACATTTTGATAGTAGCTATTCTGCCTAACATTGATAAAGTGGTTGTACGTAAGTTCTTAATCTCCCGCGGAATTGTGTCAAGTAACGGTTTAAAATTGGCTGCGTAGAGCTGGTTGGTTTTAGGAGTTAGTTTACTTCCCAGATAGGGTATATTATGTGGTTCCCATTTAAAAGGGAATCGTTTTGTAAGCAGGGTTTGGGTCGGGGCAGGGGTGTAGAGGTTTAAGATAGAAGACTTGGGTTCGTTAAGTTTATAATATGAAACATCTGCATAGGCATGTATGTGTGAGCGTATTGAGATAAGCGATTTATAGGGGTTTGTGATCATTAATATAATGTCGTCTGCAAAAAGACTGATTTTGTATTCATGCTTGAGAAGTGGTTCAATGAGTAAAGCGAAGATTATGGGGGGGAGAGACGGCAACCCTGTCTAGTGCCGTTAGAGATTTGGGATGGTTGTGAGAGCGTGCCATTGGTGAGGACTCTAGCTGAGGGTTTGGAGTATAAGGATAGAATTGCTGACAGCATCCAGTCCGTGATTCCGAATTTTTGGAGAGTAAGAGTCATAAATTGCCAGTGAATGCGGTCAAATGCTTTTTCTGCGTCAAGTGAAAGGAGGAGTGAGGGTTGGTTGTTTGATTCAAGATGGTGTAATAGTGATATAATTCGTCGAGTCGCGTCAGGAGCTTGTCTACCTGGTATGAATCCCACTTGGTCAGAATGGATTAGCGTGGGAAGGTATGGGAGCAGTCGTTGAGCTATTATCTTGGCATAAATTTTTAGGTCTGTGTTTAGTAATGAAATTGGTCTGTAATTCTGAACTAATTGAGGGTCTTTGCCCGGTTTGGGGATAGTGGAGATTATTGATTGTAGCATGTCAGGGGGAAATTGCCCTTTAGAAGCGACATAGTTATAGAGATCAGATAGGTGTGTTTTGAGATTGGACGTGAATGTTTTATAAAATTCATTGGTAAAGCCGTCGTTACCCGGTGATTTATTCATGGGAAGTTTCTTAATGGCGTTTTCGATCTCCGTGGGAGAAATTGGCACAGAGATAGAGGCTAATTGAGAAGGCGTAAGATGGGGGAGATCGGTATGACGTAGGAAATGTTCGATCGACGTGTTTGTAGGTTGGGTCGTGTTTGCATCATCCTTAATATTGTATAGAGACTGGTAGTAGCACGCAAATGCGTTAGCAATATCTTGTGGGTTGGACAATGAAACATTTGAAATTGGGTGTTGAACCTTCGCAATTTTGTTTTTAAGCCGTTTTTGTTTAATGGTTTTGGCAAGGAGAGAGTTTGCTTTGTTACCCAGCGCATAGAATTGGGATTTCGTTTTTGGAGGTTCATGTCATAAGTATGTAATAGGATGGAGCGTAGTGTATTCCTATCTCGGTTTAAAGCCGCGGTTGTAGCAGGGGTTCGGATTTTGTTTATTAGAATCTGCGTTCCGGCGTATGGAAATTAGGAGTTGGTCAATTTGCTGGGACCTTTGTTTTTTAAGGCGAGAATTTAATTGAATGAGGATACCTCTCATATAAGCTTTATATGTTAACCAAAGTGTAGTAATAGTAATGTCCGGGGTGGTGTTGGTTTAAAAAAAAAGGTGATGGGCATCCAGAATAACTTTCTGATTTTCCGGATGATTCAAAAGAGTAGAATTTAGTCTCCAGATAGGTGGGATCGCTGATCGTCGGCAATCGTCCAAGGATATGGTGATCGGTGCATGGTCAGACCATGTTATAATTCCAATGCTGGATGATAAAACGTGTTGCAACGTCCATTTGTCGGTTAGAAACATATCAATTCTAGAGTACGAGAGATGTGGAGGTGAGAAGTAGGTGTAGTCTCTTTCTGTACCATGTTGGCATCTCCATATGTCATATAGATCATGGTCGTGTAAGAAGCGGTTGAGGTCAAGATTAATAGATTTCTTTTTAGAAGAGGAATCCAAGAGTGAATCGCTAAGAACATTGAAGTCTCCGCCAATGATGAGTCTGCCTTGTTTGTGTTGGGAGATAAGGGTGTAGAGTTTATGATAAAATCTTATTTGCTTGTTGTTCGGACCGTAAACATTCACCAAAGTGTAAGTAATCTCATTGATTTGGCATATCAAAATAATATATCGACCTTGTGGGTCGATTACAGTGGAAGTAGGTTGGAAAGAGAGAGCGTCATTAACGGCAATAATTACCCCATTTTTCTTTTTTGTGTTCGTTGCCAAGAATAGCTGTGAGAATCGGTGCAGATAGAGTTTAGGGGTCTTTTCTGTGGCAAAGTGGGATTCTTGTATGAAGATTAGATCTGTTTGAGTCTTTCTAATTTCTTTTGAAAGCATTGATCTCTTGAAGGGGGAATTGAGGCCTCGCACATTAAGAGATGTGATGGTAATCATTTGTAGGCAGGTTTTCTGAGTAGAAACAAATGTGGGAAATTTTTTTGGTGGTAATCAGGATCACAAGGTTGAGGTCTTGTGCCAAGGATATATATTTGATGGTGCCAGGGGAAGGAACAGGTGTAACGGAAAGCAAAAACATTAAAAAAAACACTTGCTCATAATGCAAGTACGCTATGTAGCCAAGAATGCTACTTCAAAACTGGGGGAGTCAAACCGGTTGTGACCTCTGGGAGGGTCACACCTACACAAAACTGTAAAAGTGGTAGTCTTTGGGTGTAGGCCGATCGCCAGAGATAGGGGTGGTCAGAGAACGCCACCAGGGAAAACAATTAAGTAGTATAAACGCAGCATGTGCCGCACAGTCTTTCAAGTTGCTTCCATGTTTTGGACGGATCCAGGGTTGTTGTTCTGTGGGTCTGCAGGCAAAATACTCCAGGCCTTAAGGAAGTCCAGACCGGCCTCCAAGCTTTTAATAGTATAGACCCTGCCTTGGTGTCGTACTATTAATTTAGTGGGGAATCCCCATTGATGGGCCATGTTGTGATTTCTGAGCGCTTTCGTGATTGGAATCATTTTTTTTCCGATTGGAAAGTGTTGCCTTAGATAAATCGGCGTAGAGACGCAGATTCGCGTGTGAGGATGGAAGTGGAGGTGGATTTCTAGCCGCCAACATAATTTTCTCTTTAATATGGTAGAAGTGTATTCGAACGAGCACATCTCTAGGGACGGATGCTGCTAGGAATGAAGGCTTAGGTAGTCGGTGGGCTCGATCGATTATGGCTTCTACTTCAGAGAGTGTTGGGATTAGAAGTTTGAGGAAATGATGCAAATACGGCACTAATGCGTCATTGGAGACCGTTTCTGGGATCCCCCTAAATTTAATATTATTTCGGCGCGAACGATCCTCCATGTCGGCCAATTTTAGGTTGAGTTGTTTGATATCTGATGCGTGGTCTGTATGAGCATCAATCAAATCATTGTGCGCTTCTACTATGTCTGCTATATTGTTTTCAATATGGCGGATTCTGCGTTCTTGTCTTTGCACCAGTGTGGTAATTTGGGTAAGCGGCGCCGATATATCGTTATGCAGAGTTTGGCGCAGTGACGTCAGCATGTTCTTCATGCAGATTTCCGTCAATGGTTGGTCAGAGGCTGGGAATGCGTCATTACCAGTCAAAGTGGCATGTGGTGGCTGAGGTGAGAAGTTTAGGGCCTGGCAGGTGTCATCAGGGTCACTATCTAAGCGTGGCCTTGATTTAACTGGGCTGCAGGTCGTGGGTGAGAGTGGGGGTGAGAACTCACCAGGGTCCCCTGGATAGAGCTGATGTTGCAGTCTGGGATTGACAGGCTGGGACCTGTAGTCCTCCTCCTGGCCTCTGCTTTCTCCCTGTGTGCCTGCATGGCGGCCGCCATCTTGGATTCCCGGCACAACGGCCGGGAAGAAGTTAGTAAGTTTCCCTGGTTGCCCCGGGCTTTTTTTCCTGCGGGGCATGTCTAGTGGACCGCAGGCACCTTCCGGTAAGTGAATTTGTGTGTTTGTTTTCCCTGGGGCCGTAGTGTGCCGCTTCTCTGCTGGCGGATGGACGGAGCTGTCTCTAAAGCGCGTCCATCCCGTGCCGGCCGCGCATGCGCCCCTGACCCTGAGTATTTAATAGTTCTAACAGTACCACTAACTGAATGACAGCTTCCTGAGTTTTTATCTGCTATATATGGAAACACACGGGGACAGCAGTTACACCATTCATCAAATATGGTCATGGATTGCCCATTTGTTGAAATCCTGACCCTGGCAGGGCAATGTGCTGTGATGTCAGTGGCTCCTAGCAAGCACCTATAGAAATACTGCTTCTATGTATATGTTGCTCAGCTCCCGCCAAACAGTGGCTTATCGGGCAAAAGACCACCTCAACGAAGTTCAGACCAAATCTTTGACTCATTCCTAAAGATAACAAATTCAGCAAAAAATATAAACTTGGTGAAAATGCACTGTACGTTCTCATTCATTTATCGCAGGTTGAATTTACCTCCATTGAACTGGACCAATGACGTGGGGACAAAGACTGATGTCGTCATTGCAAACCCAAGCATCTTAATGAATACGTAAGTGCAGTGCTTTCCCAATATGATATCAAATAAATCAAATAGAAAAAAGCTCCACGCAATATCCCAATAAACTTATATGATAGCAGCAAAACCTAACCAAAAATATTATTGGCAAAATGAACAATGTATAATAAAGGCATGCGCTAAATAAAATATATATCCATAATATTAAATGTCCATAATCAATCTGTGCAACATAATTAAATGTCCATAATTAATTTGTGCAAATCAAAAATCAAAAATAAATTTATATATACTGTACATCTCTCCTTTGTGAATTCATATATCAACATAATTAAATATCCATAATTGATTTTTGAAAAATTAAAAAAAAAAAAAAATATATAAAAAATATATCTCCTCTGTGAATTCATACAATTGTGAATAATCCACCACCAGATAAATTAGATGGACTCACCAGAGCTATATGCTGCTCAAACTATAGAACAGCAATAGCGCTTTTGCTCTGGGAGCGATGGGTAAACGGTATCCAGGTGTTAATTGTAGTAACTTTTCAATCACATCCAGGTAAATACTAATGGTAATCGAATTTCATTGAAATAATCAATACTCTACAGCCATAGATCTCATGATGCATTTCTCCATTACCTCCGTATCTCCATATGTGAATTTCACTCAGAGACAAAGGAAAAAGATTGATGGTGCAGTACCTTTTAAACACATGTAAATGTATTTAAAAAGTCAATAATGAACTAATAATGATCTCCGCTCACCGTGGATCACCTCCGACACACACTGCCAAAAGAGCGTCCTGACGTCAGCATCAAGTAGACCACGCCCACTTTCCCAATATGAAATAGAATTAATTCTGGACAATTTTAATTTGTCATTTATAATCAGGTGCATTTCTTGCTGAATTACAAGTCCCAGGATTCCCTCTCAGCTTTTAATAGATCCCATTGCTGACAGATGTATAAAGCTTTTGTAACTCCAAAATTACAATCTTTTGGAAGGACAGTCCCTGATTTCATTTGCCCAACTGGATTAGGAGTATCTCACCTTTATTCTGCACAAGTATGTAAGATGTGCCTACACTTTGCCCTCTTTCTTCCCACCCTAGCACGTAGCTGAGGTTCTGTTCTGTGATTGAAAGAGTTGGCATTGGTTATTGGGCGGGGAAGGCCATTCAGAGGCTGTGAAAGATCTGATATGGAATTACTCAGAGGGGTTCCCCTGTGCTGAGGAACTCCCCCCAAGGGAACGCTCGTGGAGAAAGACTGGTATGTCTTTCAACCACAGTTCAGTGTAATTGTTCCTGCTGTTCGAGTGGCTCATCTGCTATCAAGATGCTGTGCTCTACATTAGGATGTTGTCAGTAAAGTTCCACATAAAAAAATAAAAAATTCATTGAATGCCCATAGAATACAACATTGCTATAAAAATACCTGATAGATAGTGAGCCAAGTGAGTGCAGTTGGAGATAGAATTGGACCAACACTACAGTGTCAGATTGCCACCACAAATGGCAAGGTGGCTACACTCCTGATGCCCATGGCAGAAGTCATGTGAGATGGATTTTAGGACAGGGTAAAAGATCTCCTGAACTGATGTTGAGACCAATGAGTAAAGGCCAGTCTCTAGAGGTTGGGTAGTCTGAAAGCCCTACTTTAGGAGCACATTGAGCACCACAGACAGAAGTTGGAGCACTGGCAAGTTGTGAATGGTAATAGAAAACTATGTGCTCAATGATTCCCACACCTTTCCTTCACCTAAGATCTCCCAAGCTTGACCTTGAATGATCTCCTGCCATTCCAGTGGTCCCTCACAAGCACCCATGTGTTGAGATTTTGTGCTTTTGTTTTACCCCAGGTCAAACATGACAAGTATCTCAGGTTGAATAGTGATGTATGGCATGGTTTTCTGGGGGTGTAGGTTGTAAAGCACTGAGTTCTATAGCAGGGGCTACTTTTGGGGCTACTCATAGACAAAGTGGACCAGTTGTCAAACTATCAGATAAGCCATCCGATCTAGCCTTCCTTTGTAATATGCAGTACTGGTTTGGCTATCCCAGTAGATGGGTCCTCAGGAGCATTAATAGCAAGAGAGGATCCAACTGTACCCCTACATCACAAGACCTAAAGCGATACCCCCTTCTGCCTATGCAGTGGCCTAGCCTTGCTAGAATTGAAAAATTGAGACATCCTTTAAAAAGTAATTTAAATAGAACTGAACAGTGTGTGTGGCAAGCTCAGGCCTAGTAAAGAAAAATATTTAATTGGGAATGGTTAAACAGAGCTTGAGCCTACTTGTTGTTTACACTGTACACATATCCCGCAGTCCCTCTACCCACAATATCACCTTCATTACTGTGCACCAGTGTTACAGATAGACATCAAGCTCAGCAGCAAGAATTATTTTTAGACTATGTAAAGTACAACATAGTCTATGGCATCCACCAGTCAAGACTATGTAGTATACTGTATGGAGTTAAGAGCTCAGGAGTATATATTGTAGAACATAGCATACAGAGTACAGTAGTCAGGACTATATACTCACCAGCCTCTTCATTAGCTACACCTGTTCAATTGCTTGGTAACACAAATTACTAATCAGCCAATCCCATGACATGAACTCAATGCATTTGGTCATCTAGACGTGGTGAAGATGACTTGCTAAAGTTCAAACCGAGCATCAGAATTGGGAAGAAAGGGGATTTAAGTGACTTTGAATGTGGCATGGATGTTGGTGCCAGTCAGGCTGGTCTGAGTATTTCGAAAACTGCTGATCTACTGGTAGATTTTCATGCACAAGCATCTCTAGAGTTTACAGCGAATGGTCCAAAAAAGAGAAAATATCCATTGAGTGGCGATTGTGAGGATGAAAATACCTTGTTGAGGTCAGAGGAGAATGGGCAGACTGCTCTGAGATAATAGAAAGGCAACAGTAACTAAAAAAAAACCACTCATACAACCAAACTTTGCCTGGTCTGATGAGTCTGGATTTCAGCTGTGACATGCAGATGGTGGGGTCAGAATTTGGTGTAAACAACATGGAAGCATGGATCCATCCTGCATTTTATCAACGGTTCATGGATGTGCAGCCGACAAATCTGGAACAACTGCGTGATGCTATGGAGCAAAATCCCTGAGGAATGTATATAACACCTTGTTGAATCTATGCCATGAAGTATGAAGGCAGTTGTGAAGATAAAAGGGGCTCCAACCCAGTACTAGGAAGGTGTACCTAATAAAGTGGCCGGTGAGTGTAGAGTATACAGTGCAGCAGGCAGGAATATGTAATGTACAACATATAGAGTGCAGTGATCAGAGTGCAGGGGTCATGATAAATTGCACATCAAAACTTAAAGAATGAAGTGGTCGGTAGCAGGGGTGGACTGACCATTCGAGCACTAGGGCACTGCCCGAGGGCCCAGGGTCAGTAGGGGGCCCCATGAAATGCTCCTGGTACCTTTTATAGGCTTTTTTGGGTGTGCTTTGAATGTGAGCAAGGACACAGGGGCCCCATGATCCCCTATTGCCCGGGGGCCCCATGAGTTGTCAGTCCACCCCTGGTCGGTAGTTGATAACACAACACCTTATGCTGGTGGCCAGTGGTAAATGTCCCCTTAAAGTGATTCTAAAGATTTATTTTTTTTAGAAAAAAATAACAAACTTGTCTATACTTACCTGCTGTGTGCTGTGGTTTTGCATAGAGCAGCCCGGATCCTCCTCTTTTCAGGTCCTCCACAGGCTCTCTTGGCCCCTCCCTCCTGTTTTGTGGCCCCACAGCAAGCAGATTGCTATTGGGGCAGCCGCTGCTCCATGTGTCCATTCACACATGGAGCCGTGGCTCGGCCCCGCCCCCTCTCTCTTTTCCCATTGGCTCACTGACTGTGATCCAATAAGAAGAGGGAGCCCTGGGATAGCCTAGACTCCAGTGCACATCGCTGGATCAAGAGGGGGCTTAGGTGAGTATTAGGGAGTCTGGAGGAGATGCTGCACACAGAAGGTCACAGAAGGTCTCTTACCTTCATGCATAGAATGCATGAAGGTAAAAAACGTTGAGCCTTTAGAACCACTTTAACTATTTGTATTCAGTAGTGTGTGTGTGTGTGCTCCCCCTTACATTAGTGTTCTGTGGTTAGTGTGCCCCATTGTGTTAGTGTTCCATGTGGCCCCCTATATTGGTGTTCCAAGTGGCCCCCTGTGGTGTTTGGCATGCCTCATTATCTTGGTGGTCAGTGTGCCATTGTCAAGTATGGTTTTTGTCTCCCATTTATTTTTTCTCAGTGGGAGCCTCTGCTGGGTCTCTTCTCTGAGAGGTCTGGACAGAATTGTGCAGGTAGCATCTTGCTAATTATCCCTGCACCTGGCACACTACCTGCAGACAACAGGGCAAGTTACTAAGGCAAGTTACTAAATTACAATTTCCTTTTACAATTTTCCGTTAGATCTACCAAAACCATGTAATACTGTATATGGGTAATACTAGGTGAAACCTAAACACTTTAAAATTTGTATGCAGTCAGGCAGGTCCTTGCACTACATAGCTGAAGGTAAATGTAATGGAAATTGAACCAGAAAATTGTATAAAGTATGGTCAGCTTAATGCAGGCCATAGATGGGTCGAAAAATCGGCTGAAAATTTGTCCGAAAGAATAATCGGCCAAATTTTCGGATCGTTAGTGGGTGAATTTGTCGGCAGTTTTTCTTGATCCTGACAATTTTTTTTAATCGGTAAAGTTGGAAAAAATCGGCTGAATTTGCCGATCGGCCAATTTTCGCAGCAATGATGGGCAAATTGACCGATCTTTTTACCGATTAAAAAAATGCACATGAGCCGTGACCTGCAAGAAGAGGAAGAAAAAGAAGAAACAGAAGAAAAAGAAGAAAGATGAAGAAAAAGAAGAAACAGAAGAAGAAGAAGATGAATACAAAAAGAAAAAGAAGAACATCTATACTTTTAAATGTCAAATAGAATAGTGAAGTGTCCCTGCAGAGAGCTCCGTCCCGTATTATATTTGACATTTTAAAGTATAGCAAAGTTGCAACATTGCATCTATTTGTATCCAAATAGAAACATCTGTATCCAAAATGGATACAAATAGATACAATGTTGCAACTTTGCTATACTTTTAAATGTCAAATATAATAGTGGAGCTCTCTGCAGGGACACTTCACTATTACATTTGCCGGCCGTAGACGGGACGAAAATCAGCTGACTTTTTTTTACCAATGGTGGTAACGTCGGCTGATTGAACGGCCGATTTTTCGTTTTTCTAAAAAAAAAACGGCCGTTTTTCTCCCTGTCTATGGCCTGCATAAGTCTCACTAGACATCATTCAGAAGGTTAGGTCACTGCTCCTCCGGGTGCCATGGGCTAAAGATGCCTATGGGTCTGGCCGTGCCTGCAACTAATACACTTAAATATTACAGAACATATGCACACTTAACAAGAACAATATAATAATTATTACTATTTTTATTATTATTATACAGGATTTATATAGCGCCAACAGTTTGTTCAGCGCTTTACAATATATAATATGCTAGGTCCCTTTTATTCTGCAAATGTGCTATGCATGATGGGAAAGACCTAGACTACCCCTAGGAGGCCAGAAAAAACCAACATTATTGTACAAACTCTGTGCATATATAGCCTTGTTGAGTTTAACCTTAGAAAACCAGAGATGCAAGGCACTCATTTTGACCACTGGCTACCATTACCTCCACTTTTGGGGGCCACTTGTGTATTTTTTGATTGTGACTAAGCAAACTTCAAGTTCACTTTATACATTTTTTTGGAATAAATAATTGTATGATTTTGTAGGATTCATGTAGTCTCATTTTAGATACACATGATTATATCTCCTCCATTAGGTTCAACAGTCTTATGGAAAGGAGGAAACCGTTCATCCTTAAGATGAAGGAGTATGGCTCTGCTTTAATCATCCTACCAGCATTCTCTTACTTGCAAAAAAACACAGCGGTCTCGCTTCGTGCGCTGTACACCATCAATGACTTTGACTTGAACAGCAGAATTGTCTTCTTCCACCCGGACTATCTCAGGAGCCTCACATCTTACTGGAAACATATGGGAATCAAGTCTCTTCGGCTGTCTTCCGGTCTTATGTTGATGAGTGCAGCTGTTGAAATTTGTGATAAAGTGACGCTCTATGGCTTCTGGCCCTTTTCCCAAGACTTGGACGGAGTTCCTATTCTTCACCACTATTATGACAATGCTCTTCCAAAGCCCAACGTCCACTCAATGCCCGAGGAATTTTATCTTTACCTACAAATGCACATTAAAGGGTCTCTTCGCCTGAACCTGGGACGATGCTAAATGTTCTGCTCAGCACACAAAAACAATGTCCATTTACTGAACAGTGGAAACACAGAAAGCTGATAATACTGGACTGTTTTATGCACATACCCCCTGAAGAGTTGCTGAATTGTTTTTGGACTCCCTGTAATTCTGAAACCCTCCCTGAAAGCCCAACCCCTCCTGACACCACAGTACACTCTTAAGTGGAATAAATAACCACCAGAAAGTAAACTCGCACATGGATTGAAGTAGAGTAGTATGAGGTTTTATAACAAAATTCAATGTGACTGGCATATACAGTATGAACAGAATTGTCATGTGCAAAGTTAGTTGTTACCTCAACTCTAAACAAGAAACAACATTTATCATAGAGTCTCAATCAGTGATAGCAGGTCTGCTTTTCAGAAACAAGCCCAGTGCCCTAAACCTGATGTGGCTTTTCAGTCCCAAGTGAGCAACAAAAACTATCAAATGAGAAGACTAACTCACTTCAGGCCCTCAGGAGACTGGGGGGGCCATTAAAGTTCATGTGCGTGCTAAGGCAGGCCGACCAATACTTTTGGCAATATAGTGTATCTAGAGATATCAATTAGAGGAGACCTGCAAGCAAGTCCAACTGTATGAGGAAAAAGAGCATAATAAATACAGAGAAAAAATATTCCCATAAGGCTAGGTCTCTGCCAATCCCTCCACTGGCTTCCAGTTGCCCAACGGATAAAATTCAAAACATTAACAATAGCATATAAAGCCATTTATAACTCCACCCCAAATTTACATCACCAATCTTTTCTCCAAATATCACCCAAACCATACTCTCCACTCCTCGCAAGACCTCCTACACTCTAGCTCCCTTGTCTCCTCCTCCCATGCTCGTCTCCAGGACTTCTCCAGAGATTCCCCCATTTTCTGAAACTCTCTACCCCAATCTATCAGACTATCACCTACTCTGCCCACTTTTCAGCAATCTCTGAAAACCTATCTCTTCAGGATAGCTCATCCTGCCTTCAACTAATAACTGAATCTATTTCACCTATCAGTTCTTCCCCCACAGTTATTACCTTTTGTACCACCAGCCCCTCCCTCTTAGATTGTAAGCTCCAAGGAGCAGGGACCTCCTAACCCTCTTAACACAGAATTTCATATTTGCTCTTTGTTCTAACTTGCTGCCCATGATGAAATAACAGACAAGGCAATGCACGTTGTCAGAATAGCACCAGTTTTACAGCTCCCAATGTACACTAGACAATGTATTTTGGCAAGCTGACTTATGAAGGTTGGTGCTCCTTGTGACTGTGCATGCAACCTTGTGCTACCATCTGTTGGTATGTTGCAAAACTAATCTCAAAACTTTTTTATACCATTTCAGTTACAATGATTCACAAGTAGTTTTTATGGCCCCACATGCTTGTATGCATGCCTGACAACGTTGGGGGAGGCTCCTAATGAGATGACGGATGGTGTCCTGGGGTATTTGCTCCCAGATCTGGACCAGGGCATCACTGAGCTCCTGGACAGTCTGAGGTGCAACCTGGCGACATCGGATTAACCGAAACAAGATATCCCAGAGGTGTTCTATTGGATTTAGGTCAGATGAGCATGGAAGCCATTCAATGGTATCAATTCCTTCATCCTCCAGGAACTGCCTGCATACTCTCCCCACATGAGGCCGGGCATTGTCGTGCACTAGGAGGAACCCAGGTCCCACTGCACCAACGTAGGGTCTGACAATGGGTCCAAGGATTTCATCCCAATACCTAATGGCAGTCTGGGTGCCATTGTCTAGTCTGTGGAGGTCTGTGCATCCCTCCATGGAAACGCCTCCATCACTGACCCACCACCAAAATGGTCATGCTGAATGATGTTACAGGCAGCATAACATTCTCCATGGCTTCTCCAGACCCTTTCATGTCTGTCACATGTGCTCAGGGTGAACCTGCTCTCATCTATGAAAAGCACAGGGCGCCAGTGGTGGACCTGCAAATTCTGGTGTTTAATGGCAAATGCCAGTTGAGCTCTATGGTGCCAGGCAGTGAGCACAGGGCCCACTAGAGGACGTTGGGCCCTCATGTCACCCACATGAAGTCTGTTTCTGATTATTTGGTCAGAGAAATTCACACCAGTGGCCTACTGGAGGTCATTTTGTAGGGTTCTGGCAGTGCTCATCCTTTTCCTCCTTACACAAAGGAGCAGATACTGGACCTGCTGATTAAGAACCTTCTATGGCCCTATCCAGCTCTCCTAGAGTAACTGCCTGTCTCCTGGAATCTCCTCCATGCTCTTGTGAAAGTGCTTGGAGACACAGCAAACCTTCTGGCAATGGAAGGTATTGATGTGCCATGCTGGAGGAGTTGGACTGCCTGTGCAACCTCTGTAAGGTCCCGGTATTGCCTTATGCTACCAGTAGTGACACTGACCCTAGCCAAATGCAAAGCTAGTCAAAAACAGCCAGAAAAGATGAGTAACAAAATGTCAGTGGCCTCCACCTGTAAAGCCATTCCTGTTTTGGGGTCGTCTCATTGTTGCCCAACTAGTGTACCTGTTGTTAATTTCATGGACACCAAATCAGCTGAAACTGGTGTCAATTACATCAGGTCAGGCACTGATGTCATACAAGAAGGCATGGCTTGCAGTCTCTGCTCTAGTTCATCCCAAAGGTGTTCTATCGGGTTGAGGTCAGGACTCTGTGCAGGAAAGTCAAGTTCCTCCACCCCAAAATCGCTCATCTATGTCTTTATGGACCTTTCTTTGTGCATTGGTGTGAAGGGGCCATCCCCAAGCTCTTCCCATAAAGTTGGGAGCATGAAATTGTCCAAAATGTCTTGGTATGCTGATGCCTTAAGAGTTCCCTTCTCTACAACTAAGGAGTCAACCCCACATCATAATCCCCCCTCACACCAAACTTTACACTTGGAACAATGCAGTCAGACAAGTACTGTTCTCCTGGCAACCCCCAAACCCAGACATGTCCATCAGATTGCCAGACAGAGAAGCGTGATTGGTCACTCCAGAGAACACATCTTCACTGCTCTAGAGTCCAGTGGTGGCGTGCTTTACACCACAGCATCCGAAGCTTTGCATTGCACTTGGTGATGGAAGGCTTGGATGCATCTGCCCGGCCATGGAAACCCATTCCATGAAGCTCTCTACGCACTGTTGTTGTGCTAATATGAAGGCCACACCAAGTTTGGAGGTCTTTAGTAGAGATGAGCGAATCGAACCAGGCAAACCGGAATTCGAGTCGAATTTCAGGAAAATATCGATTCGCGTCGAATCCGAAATTTTGCCTACTTCGGGTGCGCGAATCGAACATTTCCCGATCAGCCGGCAAAAGTGTCCCTGCAGTGAGCTCCGCTATTTCTGACAGTTCTCTGACAGAAGGAACACATGTTTAGCGGTTGAAACATTGTATCTATTAGTTTACATTTAGGATACAGATGTTTCAACCGCTGTACATGTGAAGAAGCTGTCAGAGAACTGTCAGAAATAGAGGAACTCTGCACATACACTTTTGCCGGCTTGGAATTATTCCTTCTTTTCATCCTACTTCTTCTTCTTCTTCCTTCATCCTCATCCTCATCTTCTGAGGACTGAGGATAGGAAGAAGAAGAAGAAGAAGAGAAGAAGTAGGATGAAAAGAAGAATAATTCCAAGCCGGCAAAAAGTGTATGTGCAGAGTTCCTCTATTCTGCAGATACACTTAGAGGAGCTCTGCACATACACTTTTTTTGCCGGCTTGGAATTAATGCCTTATTTTTTTCCTTCTTCTTCTTCTTCTTCTTCATTCCTCATCCTCAGAATAAGAAGAAGAGGATGAGTATGAGGATGAAGAAGAAGAAGTAGGATGAAAATATGAATAATTCCAGCCGTTCCGGCAAAAAGTGTATGTGCAGAGTTCCTCTATTCTGCAGATACACTTAGAGGAGCTCTGCAGATACACTTAGAGGAGCTCTGCACATACACTTTTTGCCGCTTGGAATTAATCTTATTTTCATCCTACTTCTTCTTCATCTTCTTCTTCTTCATCCCTCATCCTCATCCTCAGAAGAAGAAGAAGAAGGATAGAGGATGAGTCTGAGAAGAAGAAGAAGAAGAAGTAGGATGAAAATAAGAATAATTCCAACCGGCAAAAAGTGTATGTGCAGAGGACTCCTCTAAGTGTATCTGCAGAGCTCCTCTAAGTGTATCTGCAGAGCTCCTCTAAGTGTATCTGCAGAATAGAGGAACTCTGCACATACACTTTTTTGCCGGAAATGCTGTATGGAGGGAATGTCATAGAACTGTCAGAAAAGACTATTAATGACAGTTCTGGGACTGTCCTTCCATACAGCGGTTGAAAACATTGGTATCTATTTGTTCTTCATAAAATGGATCCATTTATGGAAACAAATAAGATACAATGTTTCAAACCGCTGTATGGAGTGAATGTCCCAGAACTGGCAATAGACAGAAAACTGTCACAGAACTGACGATACCTTTTCTCCCCTTTTCCTTCTTCTCATCCTTCTTCTCATCCTTCCTCTCCTTCTTCTCATCCTTCTTCTTCTCATCTTCTCTTCTTCTCATACCTTACCTTCTTTTTATCATCCTTCTTCTCATCCTTCTCCTTCTTCTCATCCTTCTCCTTCTTCTCATCCTTCTCCTTCTCCCTCTTCTCACAACTTCTCCATCTCCATCTTCTCATCCTTCTCCTTTTCCATCTTCTCATCCTTCTTCCTTCTCCTTCTCCTTTTCTCCTTCTTCTTCATCCTTCTTCCTTCTTCTAGAATCCTTCTCCTTCTCCTTCTTCTCATCCTTCTCCTTCTTCTCATCCTTCTCCTTCTCCTTCTTCTTCTTCTCCTTCATTATCGCCTTTCCTTCTCCTTCTTCTCATCCTTCTCCTTCTCCTTCTTTTCATCCTTCTCCTCCTCCTTCTTCTCATCCTTCTCCTTATTCCAATTTCCATCCTTCTCCTTATTCTCATCCTTCTCCTTCTCCTTCTTTCATCCTTCTCCATTTCTCATCCTTTCTCATTCTCCTCA